TGTAATGGCTTACACTAATTTTAGATTTGAACCATGCAATATAGAGCAAAACATCTAAAGCTGAACACATAAAATGATCTATAATCCTAAAATGTGACACAACCCTGAACTCAGGCTTTCTGTATCTGAATCTGACATTCTGAGTATAACAAACTTTAAGTAAGCAAAGTAAAAAGAAAAAAAGAAAATCCAGAACTTGATTCCATATTTGACAAAAAAAGCAAATGTCATTCAGCAGTGTCAAAATAAAAGTGTGCTCTATATCTGTTGCTGTATTTTACTGTCAAAACATCAGTGCATCCACTTCACCAAGCATGCAGGGGAGTGCATTGCTTGGAATTCAGGTGAGACCTACACAGAGATGGAAAGTGATGAGATGACAGAGGGTCTCATCGTGTTTCATAAGTTTGAGCTACTGACATTTAAAAAAATCATCAACCCTTTACGGAATCCCATAAATGGGATCTTGCTGACTTCAGTTTCCAAAAATGAAGGAATGTGGGAACATTTGTTCTAGTACTCTAAAATATGTCAACAGTTTGCGTAAGTAAGAAGATTAAGGAAATAGTTGAATAACTGCATCAGAGGTCATATTCAGCAAATTAAACTCATGCAGACATACAGTACTTGCATACAGTCTTTAAAGGTCTGACACTGCAGAGCAATCAGGTGCCGCAGTGGTAAATCAAAAGCTGTTGATTCAGTGAGGACGAAGCTGGGAAAAAAGATAGAGAAGGGAAGGGACGTCTGAGATTGTCATCATTGTATGTTCCCATACAATGGCAAAATTGGTTATCTGCATTTAACCCATCACACCTGGGATACACCCAGGTGGAGCAGTGGGCAGCTATGTAAGCGCTTGGGGAGAAATTAGGGATTGGGTGTCATGCTCAGAGATACCATGGCATGTGCGAATGGCAGGAAGTCGAATCGCGACTTTCTAGTCCCAAATTGGCTGTTCTACCTCTACCCGATCTTGGTCCCAAAAAGAGCACTGTGGGAAAAAACATGTACCTTCTTTTCATGATAATTGTAAAATTTGTACTTAACCAAAAAGTGAATCTTTGTCCACTATGATTTCTGTTTCGTTTTTTTATCCACGACAGAGAAAAGTCGCAAAAGTGGCATTCTGTTTCACAATATCCTGAAGCAGCATTGAAATGGCAGCAACACACAAGGAGAAAGAGATGTGAATTTGTCAGAGTGCCTCACCTGAGTGGTTTCAGATGAGCCATAAGCCATTTCTGTTGCTAGCATCAGACTTTGTAAACTCACAGATTATGCCACTAACTCAGGAAACATGCCAGCCCACACACTGTTACTGGTAAATGATGGGGTAATAATGAACACGGTATTTTAATGTCCACATTGTCTTTCGTTTTCTTGCACGCTGCAAATTATACATTGTTCACGTTTTCTTTCCCATTACATTTTTCATTCATTCAAAGACAACACTATATCAAAGCAATTCCAGTTCAGCTGTATTCCAGCATTTGCCTTCATATTTTATTTATGGGAATTATCCAGACGCAAATTTGATTATTAATGTCAGATATATTCACCTTCACTCATCTGTAATGACCACAAGGGAAATTGGCAGACATTAATGTGCATTCAGCCCGCATCGAATCAGTTTTTCACCACCCCTTAGGGCTTAATAGGAAACAATAACTGAATTATGACATGTCACCAATTTCCTCACAATTCAAGGTGTAAACAAAGGCAATAATATACAGCTGATACAATGCTTCGCTCCATTTCCTTATGTGCCATCTAATGGAATACAAATGCTAAACAGTAATGTGAAGATAAATAATGACTAGCAGAAATATTCCAAATAATATAGGAATAGGTCCAATTTCTCTTGTGAAATAGTGACATTTCTCTCTTTTTCAATTATGACATAGACTTATCTGACTCTTTTTTTTTTTCTGTATTAATGCCTCAGTCTCTGTGAGACCAATAAGGAGCCATTTAACCAGATAGTTTATATTTTGAGACTAATTCTGTTACTTATAAGTGCAACTGCAATAAAGGACAGCTATGTTATGACAGCTAATGCAATGCTCAGCCAAGCACACAAGCAGGCATGGGAAACCAGAGAACTTAACCTATATATGTTTTAAGCTGCAGGATTTAACAAGATTTAGTACACACTGACAAAGCCAAATGCAATTTTCAAATTCTGGGATACATTCAAAACACAGTATCTTTAAGTGTGAGTTAGAAGCTGTATGTATGTATTTCTGTTGGAGATGCTTTAATGTTGCTTTCAGCTGTTGACCTCATTTTAGTTTCAAATGTTCAGGAGCTTTACGTGCTGTTGATACATCTGAGAATAACTTCACACAGCTGATTTACCTAAGTACATTAAATTATTATTATTAAATTATTTTCTTACTGTTCTCATAGTGTTACCAATATAACTAAAGAATTGTGTGATTATCACGTCTTTGTTTTAAGAAAAGCAAAGTTATAAACATATGAGGCTTTTTTCTTATTAGCATACAGCAGTCCCTCGCTACTTCGCAGTTTGACTTCTGCAGACTTTCTCTACAGCAGTTTGTGGACGTATACAAAATACTTGGCAATTTCTTTAACAAACGATTGTGGACTGTGCATTAATACGTTGTACCAGTTATGTGTTGTGAAAAAGTTAATGACAAAAACGTAATAATTCGGCCAGACACCGCCATTTTGCAGTTTTCTTTCATTCACCCTCCACTGCACTGTAATCGTCACTCATAAGAACTACATTGCCCTTAATTCAATGCTGTAGTGCCTCTGGCTGCTCTTTTCTGCCCAACAGTATTTTTGCAAAGCAAAGTGATGACTGCTGAACCGACCTTTTAAACGTAAAATTTAATTCATGTCACATGGATTTTTTTTTTTAAAGAAAATTCAACTTTACAAACGTAAGATTCACATAAAGCATAAATCATGTGAGGACATGTCTCTTTAAGAAACATAGCATTGCGCTTAGTAACCCGGCCGCTGATTGGATCAATTATGTCAGCTCTGTATTCCCGGCCGCTGATCGGCTGTTGCCATCTGTTTACCTTTGTTCTTTTTCAACAAATCTTCTAGCGTTATTACTGCGTTATGGTTTCTAAATGTTCTGTGTGTTCAAAAGTTTCTGGCGGCGAAAAGAAATGCCAGAAATGCTTTGTAACCAAAACGCTTAATAACCCGGGTGCTGATTGGCTCAGTTACCATCAGTTTACCTGCGATCTTTTTCAAATGGACCTATGGCTCCTATTAACGTTCTGTGCGTTCAAAAGTTTCTGGCAGCGAACCGAAACGCCAGCGGATGATGATGACGATTAAAGCGAAAGTGGAACTTCTGGACAGACTTTAGGTTGGCCGTACCTACGCAGATATTTGCCGCCTTTACGACTGTAAAGATGGGAGCTGCACTGGTTGTGTGGATTAATGATTGCAGAAAAAACATCACTGGATACGAACACCATCTGGACAAAAGTGAAACAACTTTATGCTTGTCTTGCAGCAGCAGGAAGAAGCAGCATTTAGTTGCATTTAGTGCCAGTAAGGGATGGTTCGACAAATTTAAAAAATGATTTAGATTAAAAAGTGCTTCTCTGCATGGAGAGGCTGTGTCCACTGATACAGCAGGAGCGGAGGAGTTTGTTAACACAACGTTCAAAAATCTGATCACCGAGGTGGACTACAGGTCTGAACAAGTTTTTAACGTGGCTGAAACGAGCCTGTTCTGGAAAAGGATGCCATCTCATATTTTTATTATGAAGGATGAAGTCAAAACGCCTGGTTTCATTTCATCCTCATCACCTTCATCGTCATGACTGGACAGCTACTTATTCATCTCCATCTTTTCTTCATCTTCTCTGGTGAGTAACCATTTAAAATTAATATATTTTAAAAGGTATAAGAGTTTAAAAATTGTTAGGAACATTGCAAGAGTGTGGGAAAGGTTTAAAACACCTGAATATATACCTGTATATAAATACTAAAGTAAACTACTACTTACTACTTCTACAGTAAATACTCCATTAAACTACTACCTGCTGCTACTACTACTACTACTACTACTACTACTACTACTACTACTACTACTACTACTACTACTACTACTACTACCATTACTACTACTTGTGTACATAATTTAATTATAACTCATGTACCACATGAGATGGTAATGACAATAAAGTTTACATGAACTTGAACTTGTACTACTGCATCCCTACTTAGCAGTTTCTCACTTATCGTGAGGGGTGGGAGAACCTAACACCCATGATAAATGAGGGACAACTGTATTACTTATTTATGTGTCTGTAGTTTACACTTTGTCCAATGCTTGTTTTGAATTTGTGCTTTTTTGCTTATTCAGATTTAAATGCATCACTTTAAAACATTTCCAGGGCCAGTCGGTTTAAAAACGGCATAATTACTGAATGAAGCTTGGTATTCTTGTAGAAAGTAAACAGCCTCTGACATACATTTTTGATTAGGAGCATCTTGAACAGAGTTGTTATGGTGAGCACAGCAACATAAACTTTTACATCCCAAAATAACAAAGGTTGCAGTTGGCTTTAGGAAGTCATGGAAACATGAATACCTCCCTCTTTCCTTACATGAACATTGTAAAGACAAAGTTCACGAGTTCAGTCACCTAACACAAACCTCCAACTTAAAACTTAAAATATAGCGAACAAGAGAATACTGAAATTCTGATTCATTTATTTATTTATTTTAAAGCTGGGAAAAAAAAAAGATTCTGATTTTGAACCTAAGTAGGAAAAATGTGCAAATTGTGAAGCTATTTTTTCTAGCAACCTCACAGTTGACTGGGTTAGATGTATTTGTTTTTGAACAATAATTCATTATATGGCACAAATTTAACATTTGCTTCATTGCACAAGGCCTAGAATTAAATTGAAGTTTTGTGTACCATGTACAGTATGTTCATGAAATAATTATTAAAGTTCATAATGGGAACTGAAGTGAAACGTGTGCCCACTTACTGTGTTGGCAGTGCACTCCACTGAAGCCTGGTGGACACTTGCACACATAACCGATGAAGGTGTCACCTCTGTAGGTCTCACTGATCTCACAAGCTCCTTTGTTGTGGCACGGGTTTGGATGGCAAGGGCCTGTGTGGAAAAGAAAAAGGGAAACTGACTCTTAGAATGGGCTGCATATATCACTTTCCTATTTACTGTGCACAAAAGAACATAGTGCAATGAACAATATATTCACTCTGGTGCGGCACATTGTTTTCTCATTGTGTGCACTGTGCATGAATAAAACAAATGCACACTCAGCCAGCCTCATCCAAACAGTGATTTAAGACACCATTCAAAACACAAGTCTGTATTTTGTACTTTCTGAAAAGACTTTAAAGGGAAGAACTTTAGAGGCATAAATTATTCCAAAGGCCCTGTGAGATGGTGTGGTAAATGTGTTTGATAAGCAAAACTGAGATGGACATGAGGATGGGAAGAATCTGGCTTATAGATGCTGCTGCTGGTCTCAGTGGTCAGGAGGGCACCAACATGAAATCACTGAATATGTCCGCTATGAAAAGAAAACACTTCACACTGACATTGGTGCAGAAAGAAAACAAACTAACTGCAAGATACTGTGGAACACTATGTCTATATGCATTAATGCAGTAATAATGTGAACATATATAGATGCATGCATTATATAAATGAAGTGGTATTTGGAGGTTCTGTTTTGGTTTGCCAAAACATTTAAAGTAATATTTCGTGGGGTGTTTTCAACTTGTGACAGACATATGAAGAGACTATTTATTTATTAACCTTTATTTAGCCAGGCAAATCTCAATCTCTTTTGCAAGGGAGGACTGGGCCTGAAGGCAGCCTAACATGCATGTTTTTGGGCCGTGAGAGGAAACTGGAGTACCTGGAGAAAACCCACACAAGCACAAGAAGAACATACAAACTCCACACAGAAAACCCCCAGGTCCAACTGGGGATTGAACCCAGGACCTTCCTGCTGTGAGGCAACAGTGCTAACCACTGAGCCTTCGTGCTGCCATGAGACTAAGTGATATTGTAGGGGAATTATATATATAAAAATAAGTTTTGCCTTCATAAATTAATGATAAAATAGTTGCTACATTTCACAAAATTTTGCTAGAAAATACCAAATTGTTTAAATGTTTTTGCACCTTGACATGCTTTAATCAGTTTAAAGCACAAAACAGATATTTCAGATATAGCAAAGGACAGAACTTTTTATCCAGGTTAGGCTAATAACTAGCAAGCCTGGGTGCAATTTACATTGTTTTTCTGGCTGAAGAAAACATCAAAAAACAGCATACGGCTGTGAAAGAATGCTACTTAAGATAAGCATAAATAAATGCTGAAAGGCTGCTGATTGTGTGTCAGCTTAGTCTAAAAGTTGACTTATGTCTATAACACAAGTTCAGCTCCATTTGATGGTATGCACAGCTGCAAAAAATGCAACCAGTGCCAGAGCAGAGGACATCTCAGAAAAAGCAACAAACCATAGCAGTTTAACAAAAGATATAACACATATGTTTTAAATTAACATTATTGATAATTAGCTATGGAGAAAAGATGGTTCACTTCTTCTGCTAACAAACCAGAAGTCTGACCAATAATTCATTCCACCACAGAGAGGTCGAGATGAGCCTGAAGTTGCAGTTTGACACTGAACAGGCTGCCTAAGGGTCGAGCACATGACAGCATCTCACACACAATCATAAAGGAGTTGATATATGTCACTTACTTTAGCACATTTAATCTCTGGAGTTTGTATGTTTGGTGTGTGACACTGTTAAAGTCCACATGTACCAGCAAGAGAGGCACAGGTTTGGCCAAAAAGAGTTCCAAATGTATGTATTTATAAAATCTCAAAATACTGCAAATCTGGGCCCGTAAAAGAGGTTAATAGAACATAATTTAACTAAGGTACTAACATAAAGCACCAATTGACCCCATGATTGAGACAAGAAGTGGCTGATCGGGCCATTCTGACACACTAGGTGGAATACAAATTAAATAGACTAAATTACAAGTAGTGTTAGCAGCAAAACATAACTGATCATAACTAGTGCTAAATAATAACCCAATAAAGAAAAATAGTTACAACTTTTTTTTATTTTTAATCTAGACAAAGATGTAAAAATCCAATTACAATATTTAACTTCTCCCCCGCTGACATACAACAAGGTACAGCCCAGTTAGATTAATCTCTAGATGTGATGCAGCTGGGGCTGTTTACAGTGAGTGGCAGGACAACTTCAGCAGCATCTCCACATTGAACCAACAAATCAAAGAAACAAAAGTTAAATCATCGAAAACGACTAATAAACTGCAGCGAGTCTTGACAAATGGAGTTAACTAAATGTGTGCACTCCAAACAGTAAACAACTGTATAAACAGTGTGAAAATAAACCACATAAATACATTAATGCTCAGCCACGGAGCCTAGGCAATCCAAATATGTGCACATTCACAATAAAAATAAAAAATAAAAAATAAAACACGATACAAATGTATTACCTCAACCTCTTTACTGAGTGGCTGCAGATACCACCGTCACAGACAGAAACTGTTGTACGTTTGTATGTCTGTCAAGTTGTCCATGGACAGCTTGCTGGTGGGAAGATGCACCTTGTGCACCACACTATAAGCTGTAATGTAGGTAACCAAATTAATTTTTTTTGTCTGTTTTAGATGATTGGTGCTGATGTTCTCCAAAACACCGACAATGCTCTTTATTCAGTGTGGGATACACATGGAAGCAGCTGTTGCAGGAGCCTCAGCCAGAATAAACCAACATCTCCAAACTTCAAAAGTTTTATGAACAAACAGTTTGTTGTTCTTTGTCTCCTCATTGTCAATGAATGTAAAACCACATATTTTGTCTAGCTATGTGTCAGACACATAAATGTTACAGCTACTAATTGAGCTTTTTTCTGTATATTTCTACCTCCCAGCAACCAGCGATGAACTTGGGCACGCAGTACATATATGTGGAGGTGATGTACAGTGACTTCTAAAGCTTTCATTACTCATCTTCCATTGTAGAAAAAAAAGTATGAATGTGCTCCTCAGGAAGAGAGATGATTGATTGGCTGTGACCAAAATATTCATTGTCTGGTCCATGTATTTGTCTGAGATGTCTGTTTGGTAAATGTATGTTGTATGACACAGTAATGTTACCCCTAATCAACAGTGTTTCATGATCTGATTTATTAGCAGAAGTGAAAAATTAATAACAAGGAACATCAAATTTAGATCCAGTTAGCCAATATTCATTACAAAGAAACTTCAGAGATCCTTTGTGAAGGGAAAAGACATTCACAAGAGGACAACCATTATCACAGCTTTCTCAGACCAAGCCTTTACACTAAAGCCGTCAGTCAGAGTTCCTAAAAAGCACATGACAACCAACAATGAAATTATGAGAAAGGACCCGTCATCTTATCAATACTGGCTGTATAGTCAAACACAGAAATTTGCTTTTCAGGTACAAAGCCAGGCAGACCATTCACAAAGTAAGAGAACTGCTAACAAAAATACATTTTCAAGAATGCTCAGGATCTCTGCAAAAAAAAAAAAAAAAAAAAAAAAAAAAACTACAAAAGTAGCTTCAGAAAACTGAAAGTTTTGGAGTTAGATTTAGATTGACTGCAGTGTGAGATATAGTACATGGTACATATCTGTACATATATACAGTGTATACATATATATATATACACTGTATATATATTTCCAGGAATGTAGACTCATTAACAGAAAACTAACAGCAAGGCTGCTGTTAACGTGCTTTGCACAAATTCACTTATTTAAACTGAATAATTTGATCTTAAATAAGATAGATACTGTAAATGTAACACACAAAAATGTAATTTTGTTTTTTACTTGTGAATTTTAACAAGTATTTGAAAACTCATTGAATGACTTCTGTCTGAAACATGCAAAACTGAGTACAATATTTTCAACAGCAATGTATGTGTAAATATACATATTTGCAGTGATTACATTGTTATGCAATAACCTCGCTGTGTACTAAACCTCCAATCATTCTGATTACAAGAACACTTTGCTGGAGTTTTTGCATGTTACCAACTGATTACAAACAGTTCAACTTCCTTGGTAAAAATCCCGCCTGTTTATGATGTAAACCTGGCAGACGATCAGTACAACTCAGAAAACAAAACATTTCTAATTTGTAAGAGATGCAGACCCATGGTGATTTAGTCATGGACGTTTGTTTCTGGTGCATAAAACACTCCATTTATTAAAACTATTGTTTTCTGGTGAACACTAAGAAACCCATTCAAATAGCATACAGTATATTCCATGAGAAAAAGCTAAATGCTTTTAGAGTAAACACAAACAATTATATATGTGCTCTTTTATTGTAGTAAGTATGTTTTTATTCTTTTTTGTGTGTATTTTCTTTCCTTCTTAATGGTAAAATGGTAAATGGACTGTATAAAACTACTTACCATTCATCTTAGATGTAACCAAGGTAACACTTGAATTTCCCATCCGTGGGACAATAAAGGCTGTTTCTATTCTATTCTATTCTATTCTATTCTATTCTATTCTATTCTATTCTATTCTATTCTATTCTATTCTATAACTGTACAGTAAATGAAATGCGCATCTTGGCAACATCCACAACTTGGGCAAGTTTACAGTACTACTTTTGTTAACTTATGGGAATTAGGGCAGCTTTTTATTGGAGTTGGAAATTAGTTAGTCCTGTTTAAGTCATGTAGTTTTATAACTGGAGCAGTAGAGGAATAATAGATCAACGACTAATCAAACAGATCAACACATGAAAACTTTTTCCTAGGCCCTGCTCCCAGAGGTAAAAACTGTGAAAAGTTTTTGTGTAAATGCACTGAGCTGAGCTGACAGCCTTTTTAATGGAAAGCACACACACACACACACCCACACACACACAAAAAGGTTTTCAAGAATAGTGATAGAATGAGACGGACAAACCAGGGAAGAAAAGCTGAAGCGAATATGTGAAAGATGTTGAAAGATGAAATGGAACTCCAGTGAATTTAGGTGTAACTCATCTTCACCTCGGGCAGCACGGTGGCGCAACTGGTAGAGCTGCTGCTTCTCAGCGAGAA